ATCGGAAAGCATTAAGTACTTTATGTTCAAGAAATTTAGCCTCAAAAAAGTGCAAAAAAATGTTGGCAAAAGCCCCAGAAAAGGAATTACCTTGTGGAATTCCAATAATTTGTTTATAAAAATCTAAACCATTAAAAAGAACATTCTCAAAAAGATTAAACTTGCATAAATCTAACCAGTTAAACCTATCAATTTTTTCATCAAATAAATACTTGTCATAAATACCTTCACAAATCTCAATAATTTTTTCATGTGGTATGCTGGTATACAAATTTTCAAAATCAAAAGTGTTAATGCTGGAAATATCATTACTTTTAATAAAATCCAAAACTTCAACATTACTTTCAATAATAATATTTTTCTCTTTTTTAATTTTAAGCAAAATAATTTTTAAAAAACAAAAAAACCTTTTACTAATATCAGAATTATAACTATTAGTACCACATGCTATAAACCTAAATTTAATCGGATTTTTATGAAATTTAACTATTGGAAATAAATATGGAAATGTAATCCTATTTAATTTAAATTTTAATTTTTTACTAAATGCAATAATAGGCCGGTACCCCCTGAAGACGTCGGCTTCGGTGGTCATATTTTTATTTTATTTCATCCTTTCACTTAATCCTTTCTCATCTATTAATCCTTTCATTTAATCCTTTCTCCAAAACTGAAAGTTCAGTTATTGGTCAGCGTAAATGTTAAAATTTAAAAAATATACAACTCAAATTCCGGCCATAAAATTGTCTTAAAAATAGATTAACTTCTGGTATTAGGCTAAATAAGTTTTATTTGATGAATTAATTTCAATTTCGTTTTTTTTTTCGTTAAAAAAATACTCGAAAAAATGGCTCTTTGAAGATAATTTTTTCAAATCCCATTTTTTCCTGGTTGGCCCTTTTTCTGCTGGTTGGATAGCCTGGTTGGTAAAGAGCTGTATTCACGTTCTTGAGAACTCTATTTCAAATGCAGCAGGCAATAGACTCCTCGTGTAGTAAATGGTGACTAGTACACGTTCAATCTGTCGGGTCACGAAATCCTTCATGTTCTCAAACCTCTCGGGGTACTTGATTAGAGATTGATCGTTCTCTGCTTCAAGTCAAAACTAATCTCTGTGGATTAATGAATGGGTGTATGAATGGGCCCACCTTATAAACGGGTGTGACGTATAGATATGGCAGAAGTCGAATTGTTGGTAATAGAAAGAGCAACTAGAATACAGGAACAATAGTATCCCCAGTGAATTAATGGCCAACGACAGTGTTTCCCATAGTGTGGTGCGCTTTCCCCCAGAGGTACGGAAGCAGTTTATCGGGGGTCCGGGTTCTTATGCGAAATATCTTGCAGCAAACGAAAATTTCAAAACATTTTTTTTAAAAATAAAGCTAGCCATTAAAATTTACGATTACGTATTTTTCTATTGACTATTTTTTTCAGAGTTAACAGTTAATAATTAGTGTTTTCAACAACCAGTTGTGATTTTTAACTTTTGTGCAATTTTTTTATAGTAAAAAATACATTAATTTTTTATTAGTGGTACACAGCGTTACGAAAAATGTAGAAAGGGTCATAGGTTCACACAAAAGTCATAAGTTTTGGAAACACTGGCCTGCGAAAACAGCAAAAGCACACGTTCAATTTCATAATCTATGTATTGTTACTATTAACTTCTCAACCTAAACTTAAATTTTTTTTTTATAATATTTCAACTTATTGACTAAAATATTATGTATCAATTTGCTTACAAAAGCGCTGATTTTTTTTCGAATTGATATAATGCTTTCAGCTACATACGAAAATGAGTATTTCATTATTTATAGCAAACAACAGTTACAAACAGACAAAAATAAAACAAAAATTAATGGTTATTACTTTTTACATTACTTAAAAGACAGTTAAATTTTAACAGCGCACGTTTAATTTCACAACTCATTTATTATTACTACAAACTTTCTAACTTCAACTTTCAGAATTTTGCTTTAATATTTCAACTTACTTTTATTTTAAAAATCATTATGCAATTTCAACTATTTAGATTCGCAACTTTAATTTCAGAAAAATATTTTGCGTGACTTTGTTATTTATTCTTAACACCAAAATATTAACTTAACACCTCTAATTTCAGTCACATTTTCACACTGTTATTTATTTATGTAAAATTACACAATATGAATTTTCTTATTTTTATCACTTATTATCATATTAAAGTTATTAATTTATTCATTTATTGAAAAACATCTTCAGAAAATCTTTAGAAAATATGCATTAATTTTCTATATTAAGAAATATGAATAAATATTCAAAATTTTAAAAATTAAGACCTTTTTTTTTAAAGTACATATAAAAATATCATCGAGCGTCTCTAAAAATCTATATATCTTTGATCAATATATATTAATAACACAATGCAATGAGCTTGCAACTGCAGTTATCTTAAATATTATTTTCAATTATTTTACAACGAAAGACTTTTCTTATTTAAATAACTTATAATGTCTTATAATATCTAACAATAACCTTTAATATCAAATATATGATTTAAATTGAAGAAACATAGCAAAACATAAAATTTTTTTAAATTAATGAAGTTAGAAGAAAATTTAAACTATATTGATCAAAGTACCTATAGCATTTTGTTAATTGAAAACTATTTTTCAACAGTGAAGTTAATGTTTGTCTTGAAAATATACAAGCAAAACTACAATCTGTGTTTTGTAGAACTAATTATAATAGTTTGCATCGATATGAAAAACAAGAGTATAAAATAATTCAGCTATTTTTATAATGACGTCATAAAAACAAAATTAAACAAACTTTATACAGTCTACTCATTTCTCGAAAGATTATTTTTCGTGACATTATAGTCAGAACATCTATTAAAATAAGAAAATGTTCAATGCATTTCTAACTTTTAACAAAGCCGAACGAAGAATAATAAGATTCGGTGTCTTTCATATCAACTATTTTTCTCGAAATAGAATTTTTTGTAGTGTTAAAAGGGTGTAGTTCTTTATATTCTCCATAGATAATAACTTAATTTAAATTCATGTTTTTCTTTGAATAATGATTTTGGCGGTGCGAAAGAGAAAATTTTGGTTTCTCTATCAAAATTGAGATCGAATTTACTGGAGTGTGGCCATCATTTTGACACAATTTGAATTTCTATTTCTTAAAGAAAATGAATATCTCCCCTTATCTAAAAGAAACATACATTAAAATTACATTTTATGATATCACCACAAAGAGAAAAGGAAATTTAAATATATCATATAAATATAAACTAGTTTACTATCAATTACTTTCCTTATTTTTTTTAATTATTAAATCATTCTGTATGTATTTTGCCTGAAGAGAAATTATAAACCTATTATATTATTTTTGCCTAACAGTAAAATGTCAGTTTTCAGCTCCCATGTTGTTAAAACACAGTTTTATCTTTCTTGCAATGAAAAATCTTTTGTCAAATTTTAATCAGAGTTTTCATAGATTATTTAAAGCACTTTTGTTGTATGATGCAATTTTTTTAACAAAAAAATTTTTGAAATTTAAATTTATTGACAGTTTATTCTGAATGAGGTCTTGTTGGGTAATTCAGTCTATCATTTTTTGTAGCCTTACAAAATATATTTATTTCCCTAAAACCATATGAATCATAGATTTAGTAAAGATGCAATAAAAAATATCAAGGAAGTTGTATTTTTTGACAAAAATTATGTTTTCTCAAAAAGATTTTAACTTTAAAAAGCATTTATTATTTAGAGATATTTATTCAAAAAAGTTTTCATATAAATATTTATGGTATTTATAAGTAAGGTTATGTTACGTAGGTATTTCAATGATTTATTATGAAATTTTCCTGTTTTAAATGAGCATTTTATGCCCAATAGTATACTTTTATACTAATTTTTTACAAATTCTGATATGCATTTGCAGTTGTGGAACGATCGTTTTTATGTAATATAACTGAAAGACTTCATCGATAAATTATTTATCATTTATAAACTAATCGTAAAAAACACTTTTTTCACATTATATTGTTCTATAATTCAACTTTCTTAACGATGTGTTCATCGAAAGTAAAATTAAAAAGTTTGAATGCGAATAATCAATAATAAGGCACATTTGAGAAAATACGCACCATGAACTACTAAAGTATAAACTCTCCCGTTCTTGTTTTTGTTTAATTCAGCCAATATTGAACTGAATTGAAAAATGTATTCAATAAAATGTTTTAATATGTAACTTTAAGAAGATTATGACTTTTTTTAATTTACTGCATATTTATAAATGAGATATACATTCTGTATTTTGTAAAATGTAACTTAATGTTAAAAAAAAATATTTATACTTTAACACATAGTTTTACACATAGTAAATTTTTAATATTCAATGCGCTAAATATTATGCAAATACTTTAATAAGAAATACGTATATAGGCACAAAAAGTAGCCTCTGAAAGAAGCCAAAATTCGTTTATGAACTTACACGAGAGAGTGATAAATCATCTCTCTCTACTTTCTTGTAGAATGTTTGTATAAAATTGTTGTTTTAATTCTTAATATGGCATATTCCCAATTAATCGCCATTTTCTGAAAAAAAAATGAATAAATTTGTAACATTGTGTAGCACATGAAACGGCTGTTTTTAGAGCCTCGTATGTTCTTTGCGATTCAACTTTTTTTTCGAATTTACACATTAGACAAAAACTCTTTAAAGAATAGCTAAAATATTGGGTTACAAACTGAATTTCGCAAACTAGCATAAGATGAAAATTATAGTTTACTTATAATATATGTCTCTTTAATGAATAAATATCTAATTTATTTAAAGTTAATTATTACACTCTTTCAATTATTATACTCTATTGATTATATTCTGATTTTTTTCTAAGAATTAAAATTTTTGGCTGAACTTTATTGCTTTCTCACGCACTCTTTTCTTTCTCTCTTTCTCTTTCACTCTATCTTTCACTGCACTTCAAAATACCATCCCACCTGCAGAGGATGCTCCAGTTTTCACTTTCGCCTTTTCGGAACAGGCAGTCTACCCTGGATCATCAGTGTCACTCAAGTGTTCTGCGTCCGGTAACCCTTTGCCACAAGTCACGTGGTTAGTGGATGGCATGCCTATACCTGAAGCGTACCATATAAGAGTCGGTGATTACGTTAGCGATGAAAGGACAGTTAACAGCTATGTCAACATTTCGAGCATCACGGTAGAGGATGGAGGGTCATATCAGTGCCTTGCTCAAAATGGAGTGAAACTCATAGAACATTCCAAAAGGCTAAATGTGTACGGCCCTCCCTTTATCAGGACAATGAGGAATTTAACTGCACTAGATGGACAGATAATTACAGTTCACTGCCCAGTATCTGGATACCCCATATCTAAAGTTTATTGGGAAAGAGGTAAGTTATATTCGGGTCATATTGAATGAAAGAGGAAGATAGATAGAGAGAGAGAGAATGTGTGAATGAATTTTTAAAATTACTTTTAATATAATTAATCTTAAATTAATAAAAAAATTAGAAAACACTGGATGAAAAGTTCCTATCTAACAAAATATTTTAGTAATATCGATTTTCGTGTTAACTATTTGAGTAAATTGAATGAAGAATATAAACATAGCAGTGCAAACAAATATTTTGGACTAAATTATTTTCCTAGAAGAATAATATTAAAAAACAAAAACAAAAAACAGACTTAACTTCCCCAAATGAGAATTATTGAAATTACATTAAAATGAAATTAACAAAATCAATATATTAAAAAGATATTTTAAAATAGAAAAAAGGAATGAGTTAAATGAGTGCATTAAAAAAATATTTTAAAAGTGAAAAGCGAAGGAATTAAATTCAATAAATTAAATGAATATAGTAAAAATATATTTTAAAACAGAAAAAATGGATGAATTAAATGAGAATATTAAAAATATATCTAAAAAAATGAATGAATTGAAAGAATATATTAAAAATATATTTAAAAAAAATATTAGAAAATACAAAATAAATAAAAATAATAAAACAGAAAACAAATACTGAAAAGATATGCTGTCGCTGTTAGTTCATACGAGTATATACGCAAATTATATGTTTTCTAATATTGCATAAATATAGCCAAAGCCAAATCTATCTGTACAATTGCGTGATACAACACAATAATTTTTTTTATCACTTTTTTACTCACTTTACACCTTTTATTTTTTTAATAATATTTATTATTTGAAAAAAAATATTTAATTTCCTTGTATTTCTCTTTTTTTAAAAACATATGTTTTTTTAGTTTCTTTGCCTTTTTATTTAATTTTATGGATTCTATGCACTTGAAATTTATGCGCAGTAAGTGAAACTCAATAATTTTATTATTTTTAATTTTCTTTCTTAATCTCTCTTTTCTTTAAATATTTTTTGCCTCTTTTTGTGTTATTTGTAGCTATTTTATATTTATGTTCATGGAAGTTTTGTATTTTCTATCTATCTATTATCTTCTAAATAATTTAAATAAATTTCTTTTCAAATGTATACATATATCTCTTTCAAAAAAACTACATTTTATTATTTTATGTGAAAAAATCCAAAACATTTGCATATGATTATTTCAAATCTATTTTTTATGTTCCTTTATTTTCCATTAAATGAAAAAAAAAAAATATGAGTTTCAGAAAAAAATAAAGTAAACTACTTTCAATCACTTTTCCCCAGCAAAATAAACTTCGTATCTTCATCCCAAATCACTATTCTTCTTCATTCAATACTTGATTTCTTGTGTCAATAAACCAAGAAAAATAGTAGATCCAACCCAAGTCCGAAATTTAATTTCATCCGGTTTTAAGCCTTACAGTACTCAAATAATCGAAGACCGCAAGTCCTGAACAAACTGTAACAACTCTTCCCCCACAGACGACCCGATAACATCCTTTTCCCAGACTTCATCCACGTATATCTTACTATTGCAGCGCCAGAAAATAGTCCTTCCATTTAGTACAAGGCATACAGTAGTGTGGATGGGATATCGATATATCGCGGGTTATCATAGAAGCTCTGAAATGATCGATTTATCCCACTCCAAAAGGTCTTTTTGACCGCTCTGAAGAGGTCATTACTGCTGTGCGTGACTTCGTTCTTTTGTACTATTTTTTTCCGATCTTCGTTTTCTTTTATCTCCAGGCGATCGGTAATGCAGCAAAGCTACAAGAAAGAAACTGTTTTCGGAAGGAAATACTAGTGTTCGCTCCAGTTGATGGAAATGTAGATATCGAATAAGAATTCGATTGGGATTAATTTTCGATTCTCGTTTAAAAGGTTTTAGTTAGGGCTTTTATATATTCATTAGAAACAGTAATAAATGAAAGAAATTGTAAGAGATAACCCATTGAGGAACAGAAAGACTGACAACGACAGTCTTATGCAAGTGGATAGCATTTATCTCAATAATTCCTTTCTAAAAACACAGGTTATTTAGTAAATTTGTTAATTAATACACTGAGAAAAAAAGTATAATTAAAACTACCAGAATAATGGAAAATTTAGTGATATGTGGAAACCCGAAAAGCTCATTATTTTTTTCTAGAGTGCTTTAGTAATAATTTTGGTAACATGAACAGTAAAACATAATTTTATAATATACGATAAAATTTGGTAAATTTTCGTAATATTTGGTAATTTCATCAAGATGCATGGCATAAAAATAATTTATTTGGTAAAATTTACTGATCAAATTTGTATTTTTTACTAAATGTGTTGTAATATGAAGTACAATTTTGAAAACTATAGTTTTTGATAAAACTTTACCGTATTAAACTAAAAAATGAAGAAATGATGAAATTTATAGTACATTTAGTTAATGTTTCAAGATAAATTACTTTAATGTCTAGCAACTATCATTCTGATTATCATTCAAACATAATAGTTTTAAACATGATCACTTTAAATATCTTTAAAAAGTTATGCTGCTGTGTATAAATAATATCTACTGCTAAGTTCTAATATGCAATGTGATGTGTTTCAGTAAAAAGATTTACTTAATTTCTTACAACGCAATGAAAAACAACTTTACTAAAAAAAATATTTATTTAGTAGATATATTCAAACAATATTGAGTAATATGCTATGTAATGTGTTTTTTTTTTTTTTTGCTATATGTGTGTATATACACCGAAGAGCCGTTACATTATGACCACCCTCCATCTATAACAATGGGCTCGCCCAGGTTTTCATGGTTTCTCGCCCAGGAACAATGCTTTCATGGGGCATATTAGAACCCATAATCCTCATAGAACAATCCCTGACGTCTGTAAGCTACTTGAACATAGTTGCAGACCAGGTTCGCCCATTCATGGCGACAGTTTTTCCTGCGGGAAAAGGTGTCTACCAACAGGATAATGCACCATGTCATAAGGGTCGAATCGTCATGGATTGGTTCGAGGAACATTCCAGTGTCTTTCAAGTCATGTCTTGACCCCCAAATTCACCTGACCTTAATCCAATACAGCACTTGTTGTCCTACTTGGAAAGCCAAATTCGTGCTGCCACGCTACCCCCTCGCAATGTGAGGGAATTGCAGGACCAGTTGGTGAGCGCTTGGTACCAGATACCTCAGACTACTTATCATCACCTTGTGGAATCAATGCAACGGCGATAATTAAAGCTTATATTTAATTGATATTAAAATTCACAAATTATGAGAATTTTGCTATGACCTAATACCAAAAATAAATTATTCAAATTTTTTTTCCTCATATTTCAATTAGAAATATTTTTCTAGCACTTTTATTTTATATTAAAGTAATGTTGAAGGAGATAGTCGAGATAAAATTTCCATCTTTAATAAACTAAATTATATCACACTACGTATCTGAACCTATAAGAAATTTAATAACTAATTTCATTATAAACATTAAATATACATTAAAGCTCTTATAAAAAGCAATTCAAAACTTTTACGTCCTCAAAAAAATATGTTTACATGGGAAAATTTAGACAAATTGGAATTTCCTACCTAAGTAAAAGCCCTTCCAAGTATCCAAAAATTAATTATTTAAAAATCAATAGATGCAGTCATATACAGTTAAAATTACAAATTTTAATTTTCTATTACAATAAATTTTCTTGTTCACAATTTTTCCCCGTATTATCCAGGTAATTATATTTTCCCTGTTCTGAGAAAGTTCCAAATCTATTTTAGTGTCATACTTTTATGCGTTTTGAGAATTTTTAAATAATATATTTAATTATTTTTAATTCTATAAGCACAGGATGTAGGTTTCAGAAATTTCTTAAGCAGAACTTAATTTAATATTATTTACATGTGTTTCTTTCAAATAACATTCTATTAAAACATTAATATATATATATATTTTTAAATATATGTTTTGTATCTTTTTATATAATTTTTATACACATAAGATAAACTATTTTTAACACAATTTCTTATTCTTATAAAAATTCTTTTTCGTATTTTTTCAGTTTTTTCAAGTGTAATTCAAATATAATAAAACAAAATTTTAAAAATATAAAATTTAATCTACTTCTTACTATTATGTTTGTCATTAGAACAAACAAAGTAATATATGGTGAATACTTGCAAATTTTTA